ATTTTTCTTTCCATTGCACGCTGCGTCGTCCTCAACTTAAGTTCAACCCTCTTGTGAGTCTACAGGTTTCTGCTCCGTAGCTAAGTACCGGCAAGATACAGCTGTTATATACCTTCCTTTTGAGGGACAGTGGCAATCTACTTGTCATAATTTGAGAGTGCCTGCCGAATGTGCTCCCCCCATTCTTATTCTTCTATTTACTTCAATCTCGTGATTAGGCTCTGCGGTTATTACCTGCCCTAAGCAGACATAGTCTTTTACAACTTCAAGTGCACTATTACCTATCGCAAAGCGCTGCTCCTTTCCGAGTTGTTGTACATTACTTTCGTTTTCTGTAGATTAATTTTAAGACCCACCTTTCTGCTCTCCTTGTCTAACTCCGTAATCATGAGTTGCAATTCGTCCCCTGAGTTACTCAGCAATGCAATGTCATCGGCGAAGCGCAGGTTACTGAGGTACTCTCCATTAACTCTTATCCCTAACTGTTCCCATTCTAGGCTTCTGAAAACGTCCTGTAAGCACGAAGTGAATAGCATTGGGGAGATTGTGTCCCCCTGCCTTACACCCTTCTTATTGGTATTCTGTTGCTTTCTTTATGAAGCACTATGGTAGCAGTTGATCCCCTGTAGATTTCTTCCAGAATGGTTAGATACTTCATCGACGCCCTGATCCGCAGTGTCTGCATGACGGCTGATATTTCTACTGAATCAAACGCCGTTTCGTAATCTATGAAGGCTATGTATAGTGGTTGGTTATATTTTGAGCATTTCTCTTACCTGATTGATAGTATGAATGTGGTCAATTGTTGAGTAGCCTGTTCGAAATCCTGCTTGTTCCTTTGGTTGATTGAATTCCAATGTTTTCTTTACTCTGCTTGCAATTACCTTTTTAAATAGCTTGTATACTACAGAGAGCAAGCTGATCGGCCTGTAATTCTTCAAGTCCTTGTCATCTCCTTTCTTATGTATTAAGATGATGTTAGCGTTCTTCCAAGACTCTGGTACTTTTCCCGTCAGGAGACACCTCGTAAATAGAGTGGCTAGTTTTTCTAACACAATCTGTCCTCCATCTTTCAGCAGATCTGATGTTACCCGATCCTCACCAGCAGCTTTGCCTCTGTGCATGCTCTCCAAAGCTTTTCTGACTTCTTCTATCATTACCGGTGGGGTGTCGTCTGGGTTACTGCTAGTTCTTATAGTATTAAGGTCGTGGTTGTCTCGGCTACTGTACAGATCTCTGTAAAACTCCTCCGCTTTTAACTATCCTATCCATATTGGTAGTTATTTTGCCTTCTTTGTCCCTTAGTGCATACATGCGCTTTTGCCTATCCCAAGTTTCCTCTTCACTGCTTTGACGCTTCCTCCGTTTTTCAGAGCGTGCTCAATTCTCTTCATGTTATATTCTTACATCGCATACTTTGCGTCTATTAATCAACTTCGAAAGCTCTGCCAGTTCTATTTTGTCTGTTGTACTTGACACTTTCATAATTTGACGCTTCTTAATTAGGTTCTTCGTTTCCTGGGAAAGCTTGCCGGTGTCCTGTCTAGCTACCTGCCTCCAACTTCCACTGCAAACTCCGTGATGATACTCGTCAGATATCATTTATTGTATCTACGCTAAGGTTGGTTTGCTCGCTAAGAGCAGAGTACTGTTCTGCAGCGACACTCTGAATTCCTGTACTTTCCCTCTCAGTGCTAGATCATTGATTGGCTTCTTGCGTATCAGTTTCTGTCGTTCCTTCTTCAAGTCTAGGCGGATTCGAGCCCGTACCATTCTATGGTCACTGCATCTTACCTTGCCAACCACTTCCACATCCTGCACGACTCCTGGGTGTGCAGTCATTATAAAGTATATTTCGTTCTTATTTACGCCATTAGGGCTCCTCTATGTCCACTTGTGGTTTTCTCGTTTTCGGTAGAAGGTATTCAAAATACGCAGATTATTGCGTCCTGCGAATTCTACTAGTAGCTCTCCTCTGGCGTTTCTAGTGCCGATGCCATAATCTCCAACTGCCTGATCTCCAGCCTGCTTCTTCCCTACCTTTGCATTAAAGTCGCCCATTACTATAGTATACTGTGTTTTCACCTTACTCATTGCCGATTCCACGTCTTCATAGAAGCTTTCAACTGAAGCGTCATCATGGCTGGATGTAGGCGCGTAAGCCTGTACTACCTTCATTTTGTATCTTTTATTCAGTTTAATTACAATGCCTACCACCTTTCATTAATGCTATAGTAATCCTCTATGTTGCCAGCTTTGTTTCTGTGAATTAGGAACCCTACTCCCAGTTCTCTTCTGTCTGCCAAGCCCCGATAGCAATGACGTGCCCATTCTGTAGCACAGTATAGGCCTCATCTGTCCTCCTTACCTCACTCAGCCCTATTATATCCCATTTAATGCCTTCTAGCTCCTCGAATAATACAGCTAGACTTCCCTCACTAGTTAACGTTCTAACGTTAAACGTTGCTAAGTTCAAGTTACAATGGTGGCCTGTCCGTATGCAGAGATTCCTAGCACCCTCTGCTGCTTTGCAGATCTGACCACCGCCGTGGTCAGTTGCTCCGCAGCTGGTGGGGACTGAGGGCCGTGAGTTAATTGACGAATGCCTACGGGAGGGGGTGGCCAGATACTGCACCAGGGTGGCCAATCCTTCTCTGGTGAGATCATCGGTGCGTACCGGCTTTGAGCCAGTACGATCAGACAGTAGTGGGAATGCTCCATGCATGTCTTCCTTATTGTTGTTCAGCAGCGTTGGCGGCCACCCACCATGGAGCCCAACGAGGGGACGCTACAAGTTACAAATGCCGAAACCTGCAGACGCCAGCCGTACAACGCCACTATAACCCAATGCGCCTAGACCAAGGTAGGCTATTTGCACAGGGTTAACCCTAGCCGCCAGGAAGTTTGGAAGTAAACGGAAGAGAGTAGAAGACAGGACAGATAAATAGTAAGAGATAAAGACGAAGATGTAGGAGAGAGAGATAGGAAAAGGCGACTGCCGATTTCCCTGGGTGGGTCAGCTCAGGGGTGCCGTCTACGTGAAGCCGGGGCCAAAGGGGTGTGTTGCCTCTGCCGGGGGGCCTTAATGGTCCAATCACCCAGCGTCGGCTCAACCCCCAGGATCCCCTTTTCCTCGGACACGGCAAAGCCACGCACGGCAAGGCGTGGGAGGGAGTCGAAACCCCCCGTTAGCTCGGGTTCGTGAATCACAACTATCTAACTGCTCTTGGTGAACTTATGGCAAGATTTCGTTAATTCAGCCCTGTGTACTCTGTGTTGAACCTGAAGTTTCATCATAAGCCTTTCTCTATACACATTTTTTTTTGCATGGTGATTCAACAATAGGAGGTCCCAAAGTAAAAACTGTTGGGGGGTACCTCATAACAAAGTAAACAGTTGAGTAGTCATTGATAAGCTAACAGTGGCGAAATAGCGGAAAAGTATACGAAAATTGTGCATAAAAAGTGATGCGAGGATCAATAACAAGTTGTCTGAAACAACAGAGTCAAAGAAACACATTACACAGACAAATTACTTAGCAAATGAATTTGAAGACGTTGGCAAGATGAATGCACTCTGCATAATTTTAAATCAAAACGTTGCGTGTTCCACAGTGCTACACACAAAAATCTAGCCATAATTTGTCCATCGTTTGTGGTAACTTTAGGTAAAAGTAGATGACGGTTAGTCAAAAACATTGAGGTGTTTGAACCCCAGGTGGTCGAAATTTCCGGAGCCCTCCACTACGGCGTCTCTCATAATCATATGGTGGTTTTGGGACGTTAAACCCCACAAATCAAGCAATGTGCATTTCAACTAGAAGACAGACCTTAGATAAAAAAATGGGAAGACACTATAATAAATGAGAGAACAAAAAATATAGGCACTATTTGTTTACTTAACACTCAGTGTAAGAAATCAATGTGGTTTCGGCACCTGATGCGTAGGGTAGGTAAGGCTGGTGACTTAGCACAACAAAATAAATAGAAAAAGATCCGGTCTTTCAAGTCCACTCATTCCGTGTCCTTCTTATTGTCAACGAACACCACTTTGGTGACAAAGACAATAAAGATGAGCACAGGGCAATAAAAAAATGTCTGCAGCAGAGTAGCCAGTTACGCTTGGAATAAGCAGATTCGGGCTTCTTTTTTCGCTCAATCCCTCGTAGACATGCCCAGTCGCTTGTCGCGTTTTCGGTCTTATTAGCATTTTTTCAGCAAGCACACATAATTTTAGTGATCCTGATGTTCAAAAATGCATGCTTGTTGTTTACGAATCACATGTTTGTGGACGACTTTGAGTAGCTGTGTGTATAAGCGTGCGCGGGGTTCTCCGTCTAGGGTGAGCGAGTGTTCAGCGAACTGCATCCCTTCCCGTCCTACTAAGTCAGTGTATGGCGCACATTTTGTCCCCCACACACTAGCCTCGTCTCGTGAGCACACACCAATGGTTGAGTGTTGAAGTCAAGCATACGTTGGGGGGAATCGACCACTAACTTTAATCGTGCACTGGCAAAAGTGCCTTCATCCGACTGGGCTGTACCCTGAAGACAATAATTAAAAGTGGCTATGGGCTCTCGTTCATACATAGTTGCGCATACCTTCGCTGTACAAAGCAATTAAGTGAGTTTTCCGCGTTTTCTTTCTTACTTAACTGATACTTTTATTCATAACTAATATATTTCCAGGAATAAGGAAATGAATTTTTCCCACTTATTTTGGGGTTGTTTTTTGATGGGTGCACGCTTGTTTGCCCTATACTCTCTGGCGACACTGCTCGCAGGTATGGAATGAAATTGGCTCATTCAAAAAAGGGTAAACTTGAATGAGTAGGGAGCGGCCTTTATGTTGTAGTTGGCATGAAATTGGCTGGGCGTGATTGGGGTGGGTTTTTGCGAAGCGTTGCATTATGGCCCTCCCCATTTAGCCTGCAGGTTTGTGAAATAGTAAATGTGATTGACGATGATAGTAAATTGATGGTGCTATTTCATGACAACTCACAGGCTGTCCGTCACATCCTGGCCAGCCATCCCCGCTGGATTTGTAGCTGGCCCTGCAAAGACGAAGGGAACAACATTTACTGCTGTTTTTAAACAACACGATCGCGTGTTTGTTTAAAATTTGGGGGGCAGGGATAACAAAGTTGCAGTAACAGGTGAAAAGTCCTAGAATCCTTAGCAGTGCCTTAACGCTTTCGTTACTGCGGAAAATGGTTGTTTTTTGAAGTCTGGGAAGATAGTTTTCGCAGTTGCAAAGCACTTCAGCACGCATTACAGCATACCAAACCTTGCAAATTAAATGGCCTTTCCAATAAAGATACGTGTTGTAGCCAACACAAATATCTTAGAAACAATGAAATTGTAAAAAGTGGGGAATTCCCGGGTGCCAGCTGGTAAACAGTGCAATAAAATACTATATGTGCAAAAATATTGAAGGCAACGAAAATTAAGAATATACATTTTGTAGATAAATTACTCAGGAACAGTATAAAATATAATGAATGTGATACGAATTGTTTATGCTCATTATAGAAAAAGAAAATAAGAATCGAGGTGCTGCTTCGTTGCTCGTGTCAGCGGGGAAACATTGCACGATTTTTGTGAGACACAAGTGTAATCGTACTCTTTTCTCAGTAAATATTTGTGTCTTGCGATAAGACTTCCAGGTGTTCCAATATAGATGGACACCGTGGTGTGAATTATCTCTCTAAAAGACATGTCCGATGTACTTCGCTATTTCATCTAGCGTCACCTCTTCCCAGAGTTCTTCTCTCTGCATAGGTTGGCGTTTCAGTATATGCATCCAAGCATATTCTATAGATTTTCGCGCATATCGTGTTAAAAAAAGGACAATATTGCACGCAGTTCTAAAATGTTTCACACTGCTCCGTAGTCAGGGCCAAGATGTGCTCCGGTGGCCTCTTGTCGTTAGGAGAAGCCTTGCAGCCCTCGCCTGCACACCGCGTCTCGGCGAAAGTGTGGAGCATGCACGTAACCAGAGTAGCTATAAGATTGTGCACAAACGTCAGACGCTATATGCACTTGTGGCGGAAGAGACAACTTGAGGATGTAAATAAAAAAAACCAATGAACGACGCGCATTTATCAGGTTGATGCAAAACTTCGTCACCATAATATTTGAATTTGAGGTGCTGTCATCCTTAAATTCTAAGCTCGTCCGCGCTCAATTCAGCCAGGGTTGCAAGAAAAATTCTAGCAGAGCATAGTGTTTGGAGTGCTGGTGCACACCCATGCACGCGTGATTATGACGTCATAGAAGCGACTAGTGTCACTAGATGCAACCTGTGTCTGATGTAACAATGCAAGCAAAACCAAAACTGCTGCAAACTGCCAGAGAAGGACACTTTAAACGCGTGGCGAACCTTCTCAAACATTTTTGTAGAACGAGTTTTTGACTCCTCGGAACACTCTGTTAAATAGCGAGCATAAATTTGTCGCAATTATTACTACTCACGATAGTCTACTTGCGAAGCTGACACGTCAATTTCTGGCTGCTAATTCAATGTCTGGCTTGCAAAGGTTCTTTTATTACAGAACTTCGATGCCAATGTAGCATAATCACGAGGGGCACGCACTTATGCCAAGTTCTGCGATTGTTACAGCAACAACTGCTACGGAAAACGCCCACCTATAAATAGTCTTGAACGTGTCACAGGTTCAGTCATGTATCCTCCACATGACATTCGGGCTTACTTGATGTCAGCAAGCTGAGCCAAAAATAAGCTCGCTGTGCGTGTTTACTCGAATGTGTCGCTTTTAAGCTCTCGGTGAAAATGAACCATATATCTATTTCTAGGCATGCCTAATTCATGAACGAAAGCTTCCACGAACATGCTAGCACCAGAACCATGCAACAAATATATTTTTTGCATAGAGCTGTTATATCTAGTAATTCCACGGTATTACGGCGCACTGGCGTAAGCATATTCAGTTGTGATTTGCTTACTTACTTGTCATGTGAAACTCGACCACTGTAGCAAGCATGTGCGGTAACCAGCAACTCTCTCTGAACTGTCTAATCGGAAGAATATCTTATTCAGAACGTGGTTTCGTTTCATTGGTGTCTACAAAAATGCCGTTGTCTACTACGTCAGCTTTTTTGTTTGTCTCAGGATGACGCTATAGAGTCGTGTAGTACACAAAAGTTGAGGGATTTTGATCAAACTGAGTCCGCGCAAGTGACCAACCGACTTCCAAAAAAAAAAACAGAGGTACATCGGTCCTGTCATTTTTGTTGATGCCAGCGCTTCTCTCCTCTCTACATTTCCTTATTTGCGCTTGTTGATGCGGCTGAACCTTCTGTATGCTTGCAGCTATTTGGAGTGCTGCACTAACACATGGTTGTTTAGCATGTTGAGCCAACAATATCGAACACGTGCTGAAAGGCCTTGACAGCGCTGTCAATACCACCGCCAACGTAATGATAATTATCTGGTCTTTTCGAAGAAAAAACTCCTACGGTGCATCCCCCCATCAATTTTCATTGCCTGAGCTGACTGATTTTATCGCCCTGGGCTGCATCCAACCTACAACGCCTGCACGAAGACGAGCAACGGGTAAGGCTCTGCTGGCCAGTGCTCACCTGGACAAGGAACGAGTTTGTTTTTGTTGACGCCGCTTCCGCTCAGAGAGAAGCGTTCTGGTCAGTGGTTGTTGGCTCTGATTGCGAAGTAATCAACAGCGCTACCATCCGCACTTCTAGCTCCAGCATTGCAGAGCAGGTTGTCATTGCTCTTGCATTAACGGACAGTGTACATGAGACAATTTATTCACGCTCCAAGGCTGCTATCAAGACATTTCAAATAGGTAAGGTGGCTCCACAGGTCCTCCAGATTCCGAAAATGCCAAGACCTAAAAAATCACTAACTTCTCTAGTTTCATGCCCACTTTGGGCCAATTGCGAGTGTTTTGATCATCTGAACGAGGAGGTGCATTTGGCTGCACGAGGTCGGACTGACCGTGTGCCGGGTAATGCGTTATCTCCATGGGCGATCCGAACCTCTCTGCACGCGCAACGATATATGCAAACATCATTACCTCTCAAGAAGAGTGCAGCCCCTACCAAACTAAGCACGTGAGCACCACGTCTACTTCATTTACTTCATCTGCGCAGTGCCTGTTGGGTAAAACTTTTAGAAGACACTTGGTAAACGTGCTGAGCTTTCCTATCACGTAGTTCGCATTGACCACACAGATGTCTCGACTACGCTTCGTTCTGTAATGTGCGCGTGCTCTCTTGAACCACTGTTTCATTAAGATACCTCGTAACGACCGCCGTTTCATTGAGATACCTCGTAACAGATCCACAAAAATAGGCTGCTTTTTATACTTCTTCTAACATCCGATTTGTTGCTATCGAATTCATCGCATCGGCCTTGCGTCGAAACTTAGATTTTCTCATCTTATCTTGAGGGGAAGGCGCGAGAAGTTGGTGAGGAGTGGGTAAGGCGGAAACGTCACCAATCTTCAAGATACCTTGCAAGACTTACATGGTGATGACAGCAAGTGCCGAAAGGAGGAATTATTACTTTTTTGAGTACAGCCATGATAAAGATCACAATCAGTTTAACTTAGGTTCCAGAATACTGCCTATCGGAAGTGACCGCAATGAGTTTCAACTCTCTTGTGAATGGCTTTTGTATGCTTGTGATCTAAAATATCACATAGCGAAAAGACGACAATAGCAATGTTGGACCTCTTTTTCTCCTCTAAAAACAATAGCCAGCGAATATATATTGTTTTGTAGGTACAAACTGCTTTGTAAGTTTTATTATTATAATGCAAATATTTGCAAGGTCTCAGCGTTTTTTTTCAGTGAGCATGCATTTGTATATGATTTGGCAGCTATTAGTATTTACTGAAACCGACTATCATTAGAAGTTTGCATGGAACTATTCAATGAAGCAGTCGAAAGAAAGAAAATTATTCTTAGATGATTCGTTAGTATTATTGAATTCAGTATTTATCAAATAACAGATTGTGCATCAAATGCCTTGAAACCTTGTTATGTTCAAGTCTCTCATATTAAAAAAACAAGCACATAACGTAAACAACGTTATCGCAAAAAAATTCTGGTTAGGAATTACCCACAAAACAAACATTGTAGAGAATCTTTCGTGAACTATTCAAGTCGCCTTTTTCATGAAATGCCTATTTGTAGGATATGAAGAAGTTTTCGTTCATACAAAGCTAAAAAAACGATTCAACCAACATCTCTGCGCTGTCAGTGCATTGGATGATCTGCACAGGAGTGCAACCGCTTCGCCGTTTACTCCGTTCTGCACCTAGGTCCACTTAGTGCACAAAGCGGATTAAAAACAATATTTTAGCGCAAGTTACATTGTGTTATTGAGCGAATTTTTCTCGCTATGGGCGTATGGAGACAGAGGATATGGTTGGAAAATGAAGCCAACAATCATCTAAATTTAGCGGTGGCGCTGTACGACATTTTTTGCCAAAGCACCCCAAGCACGCGTCAGCGAGAATCCCAGCAGTTCATCAGTGTGGTTAATTGGGACAGTGGGTGTGCTTCCATCTTTAACGAATAAACAGCGCGACAGAAAACAAAGACGAGAGCATGGCTGACAACAGCGCTCACCGAATAGTGTGAAGAGAACAGAAAAACCACACAATTGCATGTAGACAAGGTGAAAAAAATTGGGGGATCCTAAAGGGGCCCTGAAACATTTTTAAGTAACAATGGAATTAATTTACTGAAAAAGCATAATGTCTGACAAATTAATCACCGCAAAAATATTGTTACGGAAGGGCACACAGAGAAACGATGTTACAGCTAAGATATATTTGCACTTCGCCAAGCCTAAGCTGAGATGGCAAGCAAGAGCATGCCCCATATCCCAGAATCACGTCGTCTTTCTCGCTGTCTGTCTTGTTTCTTCAGCGTGATGTAGTCTCGTAACATGACCCCCGGGTGCAGAAGCACCGTGTCGGTGCTTTCTATGGTGTTGAGGAGTGGTAGAGCTTAAGTCGGGAGACATGAACAATGTCTGTAGACAATGTCGTCGACAGCAATTTGCGAGTACCCTGAGTGAAGGTCGATGGAGGAAAAATACTTAGTGCCATGAAGGCAATCCAGGGCGTCGTCAATGCGCGGTAGCGGGTAGACGTCTTTCTTAGTGATCCGATTCAGATGTGGTTGTCGACACAGAATCGCCAACTGTTGTCCTTTTTCTTTACAAGAACAACGGGGGAAGCCCATGGACTGGAAGATGGCTCAACTATGTCTTTGGCGAGCATCTTCTCGACTTCCTTTTGAATGATGTGACGCTCCGCAGTAGAAACGTATTACGGCCGTCGATGTACCGGATATGCATCGCCGGTGTTATGGCGGTGCCTTACAGTGGTGGTTTGACCTAGCGGACGGTCACAGAAGTCGAATACGTCCAAGTACGATTCCAAGACGTGACAAAGCGCGTCATTTTGATGCGGTAAAAGGTCCACCGCGATCATTTTTTCCACATTGCAAGATGAACTCTCTGTCGAAGAACACGCTTGCGTGCAGTTGGGGCACCGCATATCATTGGGGTACAAAGCTGAGATGACGCAATTCTCAGAGCGTGTCAGCGTGGCGAGGGCTATTCCACACGAAAGCACTTGCGGACACAGAGCAAAATTCAGCAAAGGGTTGCAAGCACGCTTTTCCTGTAACGTAATAATAGTGTGCGGAAAAGTAACACTGCGAGTCAGGAGGACGGATGTAATAGGCGTGAGTGCGTAGTCTCCATCATGTACAGGTGGCGACGCTGTTACGGCAATGCAGGTTACTGTTTGCCGTGCCAAACAGACATGTTCAGCAGAGCAGAGACGAACTTGGGGTGGACTGGTGACGTCGCTTCGTTTTCGCGTCGAACGTCCCTCGTAATGTCATCAGAGGGTTGATTGGGCTGGGTCTCAAAACGGAGGTTGTCACAAGTTTATGTTGTTGCGGTGTTAGGAAGACGGGTGAAGTGGTGGGCAGTGCGACGAATTTTAGCCTCTTAGAAGCGTCGGCACTTCTTAGTGATATCTTGAACTGTCGAACAACCTTAAAATACAAGGAGGCTAAATGCATCATCAGCGATGCCCTTGAGTACGTGTGCGACCTTCTCGGCTTTGGTCATGGTGTTATCAGCTTTACGGCAGAGGGTCAAGACATGTTGAATGTAGGCCAGGTACGACTCCGTGGATGTCTGGACACGGTTACCAAGCTCCTTCTTAGCGGCCTGCCTGCACCCGCCAGATTGGCCGAACAACTCGCGCAACTTCGTCTTACAGGCGTCCCAGCTGGTGAGCTTTTCTGTGTTGTTGTTGAACCACGCCTTGACCGTGCCTTTCAAGTAAAAGATAAGGTTTGCCAGCATCATGGTTGGGTACCATCTGTGGTTTTCACTCGCGAGCTCGTAGAGCTGAAGCCACTCATCGACGTTTTCGCCGTCAGTGTACGCAAAGTAGCCAGGATCGCGGGGTAGAACCCGCACCTCCACCATGACTACATGACACACTCATGATGCGCTTGTGGCCGTTTCCTTAGCTTCGCATATACAAAACCTGGCATTACGATACGTGGATGGATTGCGAAGGTATGTCCGTGATGCAAACATGATAATCATGAGATTCGTGTCTCATGGAGTATGTAAAAACATGACTACATGGAGTATGTAAAAACATGACTACATGCCACGCTCATTATTCGCTGGCGGCCGTCTCGCTAGCTTCCCTTCTCCCTATTTGGGTATTGCGGGACGTAAATAAATGACAAAGGTATGTGACTGGTGCAAACATAATCATGAAATGCGCGTCATGTAACGAACATGACTACATGCCGCACTCAAGGCGCTTGTTGAGGAAAGGACGAGCCGCTGTCCCCATGGCGAAGCCCAGCCGATCGACCTGTTCTTTATTCCGAATGCCAGTTTAATGCCCATTGATGATAACGTCACTCCTCGTCTTCTACACAATTTGCAACATCCTATGCGCCCCACAGTGGCACCTGACGACAAAGAAAACTGAACGCTCACATGAGTC